TTCCAGTAGGCCGTGCCTGTGCTGCTTGGTGGTGTGATGTACAGTGCACGGTGCAGGTAGGCAGGATGTAGCGGGGAGATTGTTATGTGTGGAGCTAAGATGGACATGGGGGAGAGGAGAGAGGAACAGGAGCCAGAAACATAAAAACAAACAAAAAAGAATGCTAGGGGAGCTTGCTGTTGGAGTGGAGAGATAAGAGACTATGAAATGGAGAAAAACAAAAAGGGGAAGAGGAAGAAAAAAAAGAAAAGAATGAATAAATAAAAATTGGAAAGGGATAAGAACAGCAAAGTTCCCAGGGATCCCACCAGTGTGGCTATGACATCTGGGGAAGTTGTTCTCAGGTGTTGCAGTACAGCCTGGCTAGAAAGCATAGAGGTATACAACGCCAGGTATTCAGGGAACAGAAAGAGAAGGATGATATCGAGAGATGAGAAACTCAGTAATGAAGAAAGACAAAAGGGGAAAAAGAGGGAAAAGAAAACCAAAAAAAAAATTTAAAAAAAAGAAAAAGAAAAGCCCCCCAAAAAACAGAAAAAAAAAAAAACACAAAAAAACAAACCAACGAGAAAAGAAATGTTCTCATGGATCCCTCTGCACGTCTGTGCAAGCTGAGGGGTAGGTTCCAAGCCACGCAGCACCGCCTGGCCAGAACGGGCTCCCAACTCAAGAAAAGGAAAAGAAAACAAACAAACAATTCAAAACAAACAAACGAACAAAAGCCCCGGGATCCCACCAGCGCAGCAACCCAGACTGGGAAGCAGTTCCACGCTCGAATTGAGCTCCACAGCCCCTCAGGAAGAAGCAAAGATGGCGCACGCAGCCAGGTATTTGAGCAAAAGGAGGGAGAGGTGGTGAGAGGTAAGGAAGAAATCAAAAGAAGCAGAAAAACAGCAACACCAGCAGCCAACAAACGGTACTCAGAGAGCCAGCTAGCGTGGGCTGGTGGAATCCAAGCAGCTGGTGCTTCCCGGACAAGAGACTACGTCCGCGGGAAGCAGAGGAGGCCGAGTGGGAGTGAAGAAGGGTGGGGGGTGGGAAAGTGTATATCGCAAATTACCGGTTGTTTTGTCTCCCGCTGGAAGCTCCGTGAAGCTGCCTTTTCGTTCCCCGTTTGCTGGTCTCCGATAGGAGTCCCAAGATGGCAGATCCACGCTGCGTTAGCTGGTAGGGGACCTCTGCATGAATCTCTCCTCACTCTCCATTCTCTGCCAGTTTTCTCACTCCATTTGGTGCTTGGCTGAGTTCTTTATCTCTTCATTTGATGTTTTAGGGTTTCAGGATTGTTGTTTTCTCTGTTCGGCTTAGTTTTTTGGATCTTTGCTGTTGAGGGATGGTGTGGTGCTTCTGCCTAGAGCGCCATTTTGCCGGAAGTCTGACTTGAGGTGTTTAATGTCAAAGTCATCTAAACACGCTGAGGGTAAACGAAGATCTGCATTGGTTGTGTCTTAGGACTGCAGACAAACTCTAACTTTTTTAATTTGGGTGCGCTGCAAAGATCAGCAGCTATGGGAACCACTGCCTTGTCTTAGGGAGCTTCAGTCTCTTTACTCAAGGCAAGAAGAAAAAGAAGCAGTTAAGGATTCCCTGCGAGTCCCCACAGAACTCAGGTGTGAAGGCCTGTCGGTGGTCACCTCCTCTCTGCCCAGGCCCAGTCGGGCTTTCAGGGGATGTAGTGTCTAGAGCCTCTGGCTAGACTGGAATCCCCTTCCTCCCTGACCCAGTGCCTCAGTCACCACATCTGTGAGACGGGCTCCTAAGAGTCTCTGCCCTTCGGAACACCACCGGTGTGTAGGAGATGCCCACCATCAGCTCTCCACATGTCTCCTAATCTTGTGAATTGAATCCTGCCTCATTAACTTCATAGAGGTAGGATTTACAACACATAGGAAAATCACATCAGATGACAAAATGGTGGACAATTATACAATACTGGGAATTATGGCTGTCATGGATTGAATTGTGTCCCCCCAAAATACCTGTCAACTTGGCTGGGTCATGATTCCCAGTGTTGTGTGATTGTCTACCATTTTCTCTTCTGATGTGATTTCCCTATGTGTTGTATATTCTATCACTATGATGTAATAAGATGGATTAGTGGCAGTTACATTGATGAGATCTACAAGATTAGACAGTGTCTTAAGCCAATCTCTTTTGAGATATAAAGGAAGGCAGCAGAGAGACAGGGGGACCTCATACCACCAAGAAAGCAGTGCTGGGAGCTTAGCGCATCCTTTGGACCTGAGGTTCCTGCGCTGAGATGCTCCCAGACCAAGGAAAGACTAATGACAAAGACTCTCCCCCAGGGCCGACAGAGAAAGCCTTACCTGGGAGCTGGCACCCTGAATTCAGACTTCGAGCCTACTGGACTGTGACAGAATAAACTTCTCTTTGTTAAAGCCATCCACTTATGGTATTTCTGTTACACCAGCACTAGATGATGAAGACAACGGCCTAGCCAAGTTGACACACATTTTGGGGGACACAATTCGATCCATAACACCCAATAACGGCAGAGCAGTGGTTCTCAGCACACAGCGGAATCACTCCCAGGCTTGTCACACCACCCCCACACCCCCAAATTTCGAAAATGTTCCCTGGGTTTGCTGACGCTGCTGGTCAGAGGACCAAACTTTGAAAAAAGCCTGATGTAGACATTACCATCAGCCTAGAAAGTCCCTGTGCCCCTTCTCAGTCAGCACCTGCCTCCTGCAGAGGAAGCCACCATGGTGGTTTGTATCAGCGTGGAGTAGCCACTTATCCTTGAACTTCACATAAACAGAAGAGCATGTCTTCTTTCGAGCCTGGCTTCTCTCACTCACCATAATGCTGCTGAGATTTCTCCATGTTGCTGCACGTGTCAATAGTTTTGTTTTTGTTTTTGTTTTTTATTTCTTCTTATTGGTGAGTGGTGTTCCTCGGTACAGATGGGCCACAGTTTGTTCATTCAGTTCTGCTAATGGACTTCTGGGTTGCTTCCAGTTGGGGTTTTTATCAATGCAGCTGCCGTGAATGTTCGTGCATAAATCTTTATGTGGACATGCTTTTAACTGAGGAGTGGAATTGCTGGTAAGTAGATTATTAACTTGACGAGAAACTGCCAGACTGTTTGCAAAGTGGCGCTACCATTTTGCATTCCCACCAGCAATGAAGGAGCGTTCCTGATGCTCCAGTCAACACTTGGGTTGTCAGTCTTTTGTTTCTTTTTAGCCTTTTGAGTGAGAGGAGGGAGGTATCTCATTGTGGTTTTAATTTGCATTTCCCTGATGAACACTACATATCTTATTTTGTGAAACGTATGTTCAGTTCAACTTTTCCCATTTTTGCATTTCGGTGGAGAAAGGAAGGTCGATTTAACGAAAAGCGCTGGAACAGGTGGCTAATCATGGGGAGAGAAATGACTCTTGACCCCTACCTCATGACATAGACAGAAATTAATCCGAGATGCATCAAAGACCCTAACATAACAGCTAAAGCTAAAACGTTTCTAGAAGAATCCATGGGAGAATCCATTCGCCACCTTAGAGTAAGCAAAGATTTCTTAGAGAAGATACAAAAAATCACTAGCCATGAAATAAAAATCTGATAAACTGAACTTCATCAAAATAAAAAAACTCCTGCTCATCAAAAAGACACTGTTCAGGAAATGACAAGGCATGCTACAGACTGGAGAAATCATTTGTAATACTGCACACCTGCCAAAACCCTGGTCTCTAGAATGTATAAAGGACCCCTACAAATCAGTAATAAAGAGACAAACACCCCCGTAAAAACCGGCCGTGATGTTTCCTATGACTGACTCTGTACATAATGCCCTCTGAACTGAGGGCTACTTATTTGGGACAAATGCCCAGAAGCCAGTTCCCAGAATCAAAGGCATGGAAGGGACTGGCCACATCGTACGGCTCTGGATCTGTGCAGGAGAAAATGAAACCACAGACCCTGTCTCCAGCCAGGCAAGGGTAGGGGGCAGGCAGCGCCTCGTTGTGTACTCACCTCATCCTCCCCAGCTTCTCACCTTCAGCAGCTCCTTCCCCTGCATCAGGCAGCTTTGAGCCCATCTTGGGCCTGGAGGGTGCAGGCAGGGCTGCTGGGAGGGGTGCACCCCAGGGCCTGGCAGCCTGATGAGGGCTGGGGGGGCAGCACACCACCCACCCTCCCTATGCTCTGCCCAGTCCAGATGGCATCTGACCAGACAAAGGCCCATTTCATCGGTGGCTGGGGCGGTTGGTGGCTGGCAGCTTTGTTGGGCTGTGCTGACAAGGCAGAATTTTACCTGAGCCCTGTGATCTTGGAAAGCAGCAAAGGTTAAGAAACCTCCACCCTTTGTGTTCTGGGAAATGGTTTACTGCAAAGAACCAAGAACCACCCTTCCTCATGGACGCCCCCTTGTCCACCCATGACAAGGCCAGACACAGACCCTACAAGTCCCCATTCCTGACCTCATAAATGATCAGCTGAACTGCTTATCCCACTGATGAACTGGAACAAAACGATCACTAACCAATTTTGGTGAAGCTTGTCTCCTTCCCCCATGCTTCTGAACAGTGGCCCAGCCTGAGCCTGAGTCAGCAGACGGCCCCTCCTTGAGGGCCCCTCCCAGAAAATAGACCCGTCTCAAGGTAAGACATTCTCTGATCTGCTGTCTTATCATGCCCCCTTTCGTCCCACTTCCCCACACACTCAGTTCTTTCTAGCCCTCTTTGCTCCTTGATACAAAAGAAAAATCCTTTCACCTAGCCCTTGAGAGGGGGCAGTGATGGCTCACGGGTAGCAGTCCTGCCTTCCAAGCGGGAGTCCCTGTTTTGATGAATTCCTGGCCAGTGCACCTCAGGCAAAGCCACTAACCACCTGTCGGTGGAAGCTTGCGTGTGGCTATGATGCTGAACAGGTTTCAGCGGAACTTCCGGACTAAGACGGACTAGGAAGAAAGGACTGGCGACTTACTCCCCAAATCAGCCAATGAATCACACTGGTCTTATTTCCAGGTAATCACGGGGATGGCGCGGGACCGGGCAGCGTTCCCTTCACCTCCCTACTGCAGTAGTCCCCACCTAAGTAACTGCAATAAGACCTTTGGATAAAGTCTCTGTTTACTGAGTCAAGATGTGCTCTAGGCCGGCGGTCTCAGGCCGACTTCGCTCCGCAGGCCGGGTTTACCGCCTCACAGGCATTAACACAGGTAGACCTCACTGCAGCCCGCTCTGCATTTTACACGGGAGGACAGAAAGGGACGCAGCGTGCCCTGGCCGCCCAGCTGCGTCCCAACCAGCCCGCACGTCCGTCCGCATCGAGGCTGGGGGGGGGGCGGGGGTGCAGCCCCGGCGCCGGGCAGTCGCTGTTCGACCCTGCGAGGCCGCGCCGTCCAGCTTCGAGACCAAGACCGGGCTCGGGGCAGGGGCGGGGCTCCGAGGCCGGGACCGGGCTCCGGGGCAGGGGCGGGGCTCCGGGGCAGGGGCGG